CCCTCAGCCCACTTGCCCCGCAGCGGGCTTTGTCCCGAGGATAGGGGAGGGGCGGCCCGAGAGAATCCTGGAACTACCCTCGCCTGGGAGAAAACTGTGCCAGGGCCCAGTGAGCTAATAACACTAGGAAAAGAAACTTTCTCTCTTGGTCCTTGAATGTTGCTCTAATCTACCGTACCTAAATCGTACGGGCAAGATTTTCTTAAAACTTTTTTGAAGGCAGCATAGCCCTTATTTTACTTTGAAGGGGACGTTTTTTCTCTCTTGGTCGGAAGCTAGTTTGCAGGACGCCCACTGAGACCATCCAAATCGGTGGAGGGATGTGCTTTCGCCCGCAGCCCGACTGGCAGCAGACAGGCTGGGGGCCTGGGGTGCATCCTGCAGGGGGCAGAGACCAAAATGGGGAGCGCAACCAGGGCGCGCTTTTTCAGTTCTTCCTTCCAGAGCTGAGGTGGCCCCTTAGCGGGCTCTTTGACTGCAGTAAATTCCGAGAGAGCCTCTCGCCCCCGCCAAAGGCAGAGGTGGGTGCGGCTTTCCCTGCGGGCCGGGGCTGAGGACTCTGCACAGGTGGGAGCACCTCCTTCCAGGTGGGAGCCGCTGCTGGCTTGGAGAAATGAGCGTGAAGGGCCAGGACTGAGCAGCAGCACCTGCCGGTACTGCAAGGGGCCAACAGTGTTATAGGCCGTTCTGGTTCTACCCTGGTTTGCTCCAAAAGATCTCTGGTCACCCAATGCCAGAAATGGTGTAGGGACAGGATCATGCAGGACCTTCCTCTTACTCAACTGTTCCCCCCAGGCCCGCTAGACGCAGGTTCTGTTGTCCCTTCACCGCCGCAGTGTCTGCTTGGTCGCAGACTGCGACTTCGGGAATCTCAAGAGGAGGAGCACACAAGTCTCTCCCAGTTAATTGGGAGAGAACGAGGGCGTTATTGTCACCTCAAGAAATTGATCTCTGGTTGCCCCAACTGTCCAGCTATGCACCTTCACCGCTCCCCTTTCAATTCGAAGTTGGCCAAACAACAAGGCCCAGAGGTGTGAAGGGGGGGGGGTGAGAAATTAAATTCCAGCGCCAGGAAAGAGACTGGTTTTCCTGAATTTACAGTACTTTCTGCTCGTTGGAGTCTAGCATCACCGTGGTGGTGCCCGTTTAAAATGGTAAAGTAGGAACCCTGGCCTCCCCCTCCATGAGAATCCAGCAAAGCAGAAAATTTCCTGATGCATTACACATCCGGGACAATATGAAACTGTCCTTTTGATGAAGTGTTGGTTGGAGTGAGACGCAGTTACCAGGACTCCCAGATCCGAAGTGAGAGCATCTTCAGTTTTTTAGCAAGGGCACCTGCACGCCCAGTTTTCAGATACACCTCCCTCCCCCACTAGATCGTGTGTGCGCCAAGAGAAAGAATCACATATGTACATTATCTTTCGCTCTTTCACCGGTTGTACCTGTCACAATTCTACCCAGTTAATTGTGGTTGGAAAAGCCACCTCCCCTCCCCATTCAGAGAAGACCCTGAGAGATCCAGTCTGGTGAGGTTACATTAACTTGTAATCCTCCCCCTCTCCCTTTCTAATGTCTTTGATGATTTTTCCCATAAGTGCATAAGCTGCCGCGACTTAGTAGAAGCAGGCCGCTCCTCCTAAATGTGATTCGGACCATATGCTTTCCACATTCATTCTCGCTCCAGCTTTTCTTCTCTGCGCTAACTGCTAACACGTTATAGTCACCTTGAAATTTCCTCTGCTATTTTCCAATTAAAAGCTTAATAGCCCTGGAAACGGAGTTCATGTGGTGAAGTTTACCATAGCCCCTTGTTCTGAAAGGCTTTCTGCTGGGATCCCATTATGTGCTTGAATAAACCCTTTCTGCAAACAGAAATGGGACTTGGGGTTGTCAGGTGTTGGGTTACAATAGACTTTGAGGCAGGGAACATTTTACCAACATAAATACAAACCTGTCCCTATGGGGAGATGTTGTCAAATACTGGGATATGGAAAACATTCCCATCAAATATGAGAAAAGGATTATTGCGCTATATCAAATGAGTATTTAGATCTCAGCCCCTGATGTGCATTGGAGTGAAATGGCCCCGGGACCGAATAATGCCAGACTGTTTGAGTGGCAAAGGGATAGGGCGGCTAGGTGACCAAGGAAGGAAAGGGGGTCGTCTTGGTAGTGGGAATGCCCTCCCCCCAAACCTGGTGCACAACTCTGCTGCTTTCCTTTAATTTTTTTTTTTCCTCCCAAATTCCTTATGCTTCTGGCTTTGCTGACCATTTGGGAAAAGTCGGGAGAAATTTGACGTTGAAAAAGTCCTTGGTCCTTGCGTTCCCAAGAGACCTAGAGATTTCAACAGGAAGGTTTGCAGATTCCTGTCATTTTTGGACATCTGGTCACGTGAGGCGACTCACTGCCAGCTCCCTACTTCCAGGCCTCTGGCTCACTGGGTGACCTCTGCTTCCAGTTTCCGGAGTTTATGGATTTCCTTCTAGTTGTAGTG